GGTGGTATCAGTGAACTGAAGCTCATGGTTCAGTAACAGCTGTGTGAAGTATTCCACCTTCACACCATCACCCTCCCGTTGCGGATTAGTCGACTTCTTGTAGTCGCCGTGACCGGAAGCAGCTCCACCCAGGATCGTCGGGTCCGCAACAGAGGGGTTGTTGAGCCAAACCACCACGCTCTCCCAGTCGTGTCTGTGTGAGCCGGTGGAGACGCCATCGTTTGGCATGTCTTTGGGGAAGTACCAAGCATACATGATGGCGTACTTGTCGTTGTGCCAGGTGCCTCTGGCGTAGGTCTGGCCCTTGCTGGTGTCTCTGCAGCCTCCAGTAGAGCTGCCGCTGGGTTTCAGGCCACCGCTGATTCAATCGTCAACCTTTTATCATTGTGAAAAAATCCTTGGACACGCACCTTGTGTCTCCGGCATCATCAACAGCAGTGTATGGCTGGCACCCATGAGCGATGTGGAGGAGCGGGTTGAATCGTGCGATGGCTTTGCCGACAGCGTTATCCTGAACTTTCTGGGCGAGAGGACTAAGAGCGTCGTGGCCAACTTCTCCGCGAGAGTCTAAAACAGTGGCAACGGGAGCGGCAAAGGCACTGCTCAGGAGGCTGAGAAAAGGAAGGAAGGCGGCAGAACGCATGTTGCAACGAATAACTACGGCTTGTTGTTAGTCGAAATCTTCTCGGCCCTCAATGAACGGTGATTATACCAGTAAAGAATGAATTAGCTGAAGTGAATGCTGGCAATGAAGACCTGCTTCCCTGGTTGCCGTCTATGATCTATGGTGAAATGAAGCTGATGGAAGCAAGTTGGCACAAACAGCAACAAGGACAAGGAAAAGGGCGGCTTTTCAAACCGACTCGATCCTAGAAAGTGTCAAACTCGGGCTAGGCCAGATCCAATTTCCAGTGGATTGAAGAATCGCATGAGTTAATCCTGACTGCAGGTCCGCAGCACGCGCGCGGCGTTCGGAAACCTGATCGGGTCCGAAGTCTACAACATACAGGGGTCATGACAAATGAGACGAACCACTGGTGCTATCATAAGATCAGTAAATGCTACCATTTGACATCAGTCAAATGAGGTTGGGGTGATCTGGCCTCGGAAGCCGCCAAACCGGAACCGAGGCTGATTACCAGCGTCTTCCGCAGGGCATATTGCTTGCCACACCAAGCCCTATAGCTAAACCTTGATGTGGTTCTTGAAGCTGTCCAATGTCCAGAATTAGCGACGCCTAGGCTGGCGGGCTGAGAACCTTCATTTAGCTGCGGCTTTCTGTGTGGGCCCGTTGGTGTCGACCGAGTCAGTCCAAGGTTACACTCTTCCCCGTGTCCATGATTGATAACCCAGCCTTCACCACCGTTTTGGTCCAATTTGGTCCACAACTTTCAACCTGTTACTGGACGACTGCCAAGTACCCCGTGGCCTGCTTGATTGGGGAGCACAAGGAGATCCGAGTTGTCCGTGCCAAGAAGGCTCCATCCGCCCGACCATCGTGGTACTCGCGTGGTTCTCCAGAAGGTTAAAGGCGTCTATCTTTGTTGCTAGTCATGATATCAAAGCATTGACGCACCGCCTTGTTTTCCAATCCGCAAAGCCATGGGCCCACTTCTTCGCCTGACTGCTCGGGATGGGATGGCGACTTTCAGCATGCAATATTTCAGGGCTTTGACAAGTCACTCAAAAGGTTTGGGTTGATCTCCTACAACAAACTGCAACTAGCACAAATTGCGTATTGAGAAGGAGTCCATTCTCCTACGCGATTCTAATTCAATCCAAAACTTCTTTCAAAATCCTTTGCTTCCTTGCCAATCGGTTGAATCAAGGTATAGCTCCCGGACTTATTGAACTCTTGCACCCCGTTGAGTAGGTAAAGCGGAGTCATCTGCCCATCATCGCTGAAATACAACTTTGGTCTCTCCCGGCGATAGTAGTCTAACTTGACACCGTCGGTGAACTCAACGGTTGTGTTGTACGTCAAGGTATTATTGTTGTAGATCCAAGGGCCCTCCCAATTGCGAGCATAAGCATGTGCTCCGACTCGCGGCCCTTTTCTGCCTTCCGCGATATCGACCATGTGGTGGACCAGAATGTGCCAGTGTCCTCGTTTATCTCTCCAAAGGAATGGATCTTCACTGCGCTCCGTGTTTCGCGGTTCAACAACAAGCTCGTGGGGTGCAGAGAAGTTGTCTGCGTGGTAAATATTGTTCTTCTCCACAGCGAGTAGGATCTCGTGCGAAGGGTCCTCATCCGTCCACAGCGGCCACGGTGCAGGGTTCGTGACGTTGATAACCTGCGGAATTGGTGTCGTCCATTCCCTAAGATTCGGCGACGAGGAAACCGAGATCGTATTGTTCCACTTCTGGGATTTGCAAACGTCACCAACCTCGACGTCTTTGCCGATAAAATAGATCAAGAACTTTTCATCCGCTGGGCTCCAAATAGTTGTAGGATTGTGGTGGAAAGTGCTGAATAATGTTTGGGCGTAATTATACGGGCCTCTCGGCCCTGTGCGAGACTCGGCTCTAATTATGGTGCTGAAAGGCCGCCAACAAGAGAGACCACAGCCGTGTGACATTTGCGACGTAATGAGATGGAAGAGACCCTTGTCTTCGCGATCTTGGATGATGTGACCTCCCCAGGAAGAGTTTCCGGCGCCCTCCTTGTAGAAGTCTGATCCTGTCGCGTTCGTGTGATTGTACCCGGTCCAAGGCTCGACTGGCTGCAAATCCAGTTCGCTACAGTCGGAAGAACGCCATCCTTTGTCACAGACACAGGAGGAGTTTTGATCGCAAAGGCCGTTGAGACTGCAGTCGTCATCCGTTCGACATCCAATAACTCCAGCCAAGAGGCTGGAGAAATAGCCAAACACAACAAGGCTCAAGAAAGCTCTCATACCTCAGTAATTTTGACCTCTTTGTTGATTCACTGCTATTTTTATGTTTTCCACGAAATCGACGCTGGGAAAAGTGCAAGACAAATCCCTCTTGTATGCGCGACATATCTAACTGCAGCCGCTTAGCAAATTTCCAAGATCGACGGGATGAATTCTCGGCTCGTCGTAGATCTATCCGAATTGCGCAGGTCTCCATCTAGGAGACCGGCGGAAGAATTGAGATCCTCGAATCTGCGTCGGCTTCTCCGCATTTCCCCGCGAACAACACCAGCCCCCATCATACCGCAGCAACCATTCTGTACATGTACTGATCAAGGCAACTCAACATAATCCGGCTTTCAGATCACTCTAGAACCTGCGACTCCAACACCAGTGGGAGAATTATATGACATCTTGCTGGCTTCAACAACATACAGGCCGCGGTCATGCTGTGGTGCCACTCCTGTATTGAAAGAAATGAGGATAGCTTACCACCCCTAAGGCAAGTTGAGAGCTTGAGGTACGCAGCGGAGCCCCACATACAATTGCCCTACCATGCTGATTCACTTGCGTATCAACACATCGCTCATATTGAGCCTTTGTATGATATAAGGGGATGGGGGTTTCGAACTGATGAAAGACGATGAGTAATTATGGCAGTAAAGCAAGTAAGACACCGGTCATCTTGAACAGAAGTTATGCCCATCCACGCCGATGTGGCTCGAATCCTCCCTGCTACCTAGCAAATATCCAGGGTCGCTTGGCCTCTGCAATTTGCAGTCGTGGTGACCTTGGGACTCTCCTGGCCCTTTTCAACACCCTTATACTCCTGGCAGACCTTGGCGACACCGGTACCGCAGGACCCAGATATTGTTGCAACATCTCCAAAGTTTGAGTTGATGCCGGCAAGTAATTTGACATTATTGGCCTTCAAGTTGGTTACTACCAAATTCCTCGGACCGCCGTTGCTCACACAGTTGGCACATGAACGGTAAAGACGATTCACATCGATGACCGTAAAATCTTTGACTGTGGCTGTTCCTCGGCCTAAGTGCGAGATCGTGTTACCGTAACCTCCGCGGACACCACCTCCCTCGACGAGGATATCGCCATTGCCATTGATCACTATGGCATCTGTATCATCGCGTAGAGGTCAGCCTTCGTTCTCTCGAAACTCACTTTGCCATGGTCCAGTCCACGGAGACAATATCTCACCTTCACAGACCTGTCGGAACCAGACATTCTTCAGCGTGCAAGCACCTTTACAATGAACTCCTTCAACCTGGCCGGCACCGATAATGACGTTGCTGATAGTGGCGCCATTTTCAAGTATGAAGACGGGGTGCCCGCCTGGAGTCTCAACATCGGTATTGCATGAGCGTCCGCGATCGTACTCCTTATTGCCAAAATCCTTAGACCCAGATATCACATTCGGCGCCGGTAGTGAGATGATGGAACCGTTTCGGCTGGGAATATTGAGCGTTTGACAGGCAACGAGACCAGCAAGGAGCGCCGCTGGCAGTGTTTTGGAGATGAACATAGTGAATCAAAGTTCGAAGGGATGTCCGGTCGAGCAATGAAGAAAGGCTCGCCTATCTAGCATGTAGAGCCACCTGGATAATATAGAATATAGATGTAGATTTCAAGTGGAGTCTATCCCTGTTTGGTCTAGTTGCTACAGTCATCCACAGCAAAGTGGTTGAAATTAAAGAACTTAGGCCTAGCAAGTTCTTGCAGAACATATAGAATCTATAGTTCTGCCATTTTGGACTTCGTGGAACCCGCGGGCATGTGTATGAGGCTGCGAGGGAGCAGGAGTTGATTCGTGGCTAAACCACAGCATTCACGCTCTGTGGACATTTCTCCAGCGATGTAGTCTCTTATCCGTGGTTCTCGCCCTTCCTTGGTGGATTATCTAACGATATTATTCCGCTCTTGAAATAGCGCATGTCTGATTAGAGTAGCGCCAAGCCATGCTCACCTCCTGCAATCTTAGCCGTCAATCATATGCTGTCCACCTTGCGAAGCCAAGAGGTCCATGCTATCCAGCTGGCCATGTTGCTACTGGGGCCACGGAAGCATTTTGAGAATACAGCATCATCTCGATTCTACTTGTGGTTTGTCATCCATCATTCACCTTCCACTCTTCAATCAACTTCCGCCTCTGATGGTTCGTAGCCCACCCCAACTCCGTCTCGATACCAGAAAGTAGCTCCAGTACCAATTCCTGTTCCGGTCGCGTATAAAAGGCTTGCCCTGCCACGAAAAGCGGCTGGACAGAGTGAACACGCACCGCATCAGTAGGATCCGCGAGGCTAATCCCACAAATCTCCTTGCAATGACGCAGCACCCCTTTCTGAATGAGTCGATACGATCGCAGACGCGCCGACACGGTCGACCGTATGGCCGTGGATTCTTGGGGCCGGTTCACCAGCAAAAGAATCTGAGCCATATGGTAACTTTGCATCGTCGACGCGCACATCGGAATGTCGTACCAGACCCTTTCCATGTCCATATCCGTCTCATCATCATCCAAATCCCCGTGGCGACTAGAGAATCTTGTCCGGGCGCTGGGCACAAAGGTCGGCGGTAGACTCTCATACCACTCCTGCAATTCGACTTCAAGCTTCGTCCATCTTCCCAGGAGGAGTTCCTGCGTCAGACCGAGCGACATGCGCTGGCCGGCGGGCTTAGAATAGTCTTCCGGGCGGATACCATCCCCGTTGGTGATGTAATTCACAATCTTCCCCAGAAGCCACAAAAGCTCGTTGCTTTTTGAGTCTTCATCCACGTTGGTCGAGGAGCGGATATCGGCCGTCGAAAAGGGGCTGAAGGGGAGTAAGAGGTTGCGTTCGTCTGTAGCAAGGCCAAAGTTTTGCCAAAGACGGATGTGGTCCAAGTTGAGACGCGTCTGGGTTTCGCTTATGACTTTCGAAGCGCAGATGTTAGCCTTTTGGCCACGACAGTGTATGTGTTGAGAAGCTTACAAGCACAGAGGAAATCCTGCCTTGCCAGACTCCAGAATATTGGCCCCTTGGTCGGAGACTGCGGTATCGAGACCGGGGAAGATCCTCCCAGAGCTCTATCTGAGGCAGAGTACAGTGACAGAGCCGTGAGATGCGCCTTCCACGCATTTCCTGGGGCGTTCATCAACTCGTACATGCAGAGTATGGCAACTGCGGCAAAAGTATCCGCATGTTGGTCGCTCGTCTCGCTATGTAGCGCATCGTCCCTTGCTCCGGCGAGAGTGATTGCGTGCTTCAAATGTCTGATTGCTTGATGATAGTGTCGGACGGCGTGGTATTGCCAGTCCGGGGGTGTCGTAGCCGAGGGAGCCACCGAAGCTCTCGCGCTGCGGGTCTGTCGGATCTCGTTGTCATTTGACTGTGTGCGCGATAGGTGCTTTGCTGCGAGAGCGCAGATTGCCGATTTGAGAAGCGGCCGAGTCGTTGCTCTTATTGGTATTTTGCATGAGAAATGCGCAGATGTATCAAATAGGTCCATCCTACCGCCCACATTTTAGTAGCTGTACAGCCCGAAGGTAGAGGGATATGAAGAGAACAGGGCTTACCACTGCCCAGGTCCTTGTCTGAAATGTCTCAGAAGCTTTAGAGCTATTATGTTCATCTCTGAATCATCGTCGTCGCCGTTGTCGTCCAAATCTTCGTCGTCATCTGCTTGAATTGTGGGTGATGGGAGGGCCACTGGGTTTAATACATCATCGTTCCCACCAGATGCAGTAACAGGTCTGCTCTGCACAACATCGCTATCCATTCGGAGGTCCTCAGAGGATTGTTGAGCGAACTCAGAAACTCCTTCCGACCGCGATGTGTAAGCCGGAGTTCTCCCACTCTCCGCATCCCGAGGTTCGGGTGTTGACAGCGTGTGACCCCATTCACCAGATGGTCCTCCTTCAGTATTGTGACTGTCGTGCTGCAGAAGAAAATCATCGTCGGAGATGTCGTCGTCTGCCTCGAATGGGTTCGTAATATTCACAAAGACAACTGAAGCGGTTGGTTAGTGATAACATCAAGGCTAGATTCCAGACACACATCGACCCACGTTCATGCGGAATATCGAGCCAGGTTTGATCTTCTTCGAACAGATTCTCGACAACAACACGACCTGCAGAAGCCTTGTCTTGTCCTCGACAAAGAAGAGAGTGATCAAAATGACGAAATTTTGTATCTTGCGAAAAGATGCATTCGCGATCAGACTTGGTACATTGCCCGCAAGCGGGTCGTGCCTCGTTGCATTTTAGTTTTCGCTGCCGGCATGTCAAGCTGTTTGTTGAAGTTGTAAAGATAATGCACGTTTCTGATTGAAGGTAGCAACCCACCACCCATGATGCGAGCGCATGATACCTACGCTATGGTCCGGAGAGGGCCAAAAAGGCCTCGACCACGGTCTCGACCGAAAGAGAGGGGGGCTCTGCTGGACGCGGTTGGTTTAAGGAATAACCCTTGTTAGTCGTAAGGTTGGGTAGCAAATGTGACGTTTAAGGGCGAAGAGATAACATGTCATAAGGGAAGAGATCCCAGGACTCAATGTGGTGGGTGACAAGAGAGGAAATCTTTCCGGCGGATGGTTCCGGTGGAACATGAAAAGGTGGGGGGGATACCTTTTTTTATCTCGAGGGTGTACTATCGTTGACAGGCAGAGAGTCAAACGAACGTTCTATGCTATTATTTTCCGTCAGCTCTAGTGATTAGCGTCATCAAGAGCTGATTAGGTCCCTCGTCGACCAAGTCAGCGCAACCAACGAGACGAGACGCTTAAAAATTCAACCGTATAGTAAAATTTCGTTGGGAAGGAGAGTGTATCCGTCTACAGGTCAGAGTCAGGCTTTCGGCAAAGTTACCTTACTCAGACACCGGCCAGAAGGGTCTGACGCTTATTGCCGATGGCGCAGGATGGACCGACTGTTCCCACCTCAACTGGCAACTTTGCCGACAGTACCCTCAGTGAGCTTGCTTGCCAATTGGCCTCAGACGAGAGGCAGCTAAACTCATCGATGTTAACAACTTGCGAATTTAGAACCCTCCATGGGCGGATTTTGAGTTATGGCAACTAATCCGAGCCGTATCGTTGTCAGAAAAACTACACTGCATAGCCCACGCGTGAGACAACAGACTCTTGGCGAGCATGACCCTGTGAAGGCCCAGTAACCATTCCCGCCTGCAGGCTATCTATCGGAGTTTTCATCAAGATGGCAAACCCGGTGGGCTTCATACCCGAAAGGAGAATAGCACGATATCAAGATGGGCACAACATGCAGCCACCAAGCCAGTATAAGAACCTTTTGAGTGGTCTGAGGAAGGAAAGCTACGGTTCGCTCGCTGGTCTATGCTACAGAGCATTTATCTCGCCCATTACCGTCTCTAGATCGTGAGCCTCGATCACAATGAGACAGTTCAGAATGCCGCCGCTCTATGCCAGGGCGTCTATAGCTACGGGAGCCTGTCTGATGCTGTGGGGGTGAGTCTTGTCTGCAGATCTCCTTCGTTTCAACCAGGCTTATCAGCTAACTTTCACCTCTCAGGCTCGACACTGGCAGCATAGGCCCCATAACAGCAATGGAGACTTTCAAGACCTCATTCGGTCACTTCTCCGCCATCCTCCACGGCGCAATCGTCTCAACCCTTCTCATAACCGGCACGATCAGCGCCCTCCTAGCAGGCATGCTAGCAGACCAACTCGGCCGAGTCGCCATGATATCTACCGGCGCCGCCGTCTTCGGCCTCGGGGCCGCCATCGAATGCGGTGCCGTCCACCTCGCAATGTTCATCGCCGGCCGCGCCGTAAAGGGTCTCGGTACGGGACTCTTCGTCAGCACCGTCGCCGTGCAGATCTGCGAAATCACGCCCGCCAAGACGCGAGGTTTCTGGGTTGCGTTCTCACAGTTCATGCTTACGGTGGGATTATCCCTGGGGTATTTCATCTGCTACGGAACGCGTCGTGTGGCGGATTCGTCGGCGTCTTGGCGAGTGCCGCTTGCTGTTGAGGCGATTCTGGGATTTGGACTCGCCGCGACGACCCTTTTTGTGCCGCAGTCGCCTCGATGGTTGATGGCCAAGGGTCAAGTCGATAAGGCTCGGCTTGTCTTTACACAGCTAGGCATCAGCGAGGAGGAGCAGCGGGAGATGCTGGCGTCCAAGGGCGTTCAGGAGGCAGCAGCAGCCGCAGTACATCCTCCCAACATGAGCATGGCGGACACCATCAGAGCGACGATCCATGACTTCCGGAAAGCTTTGTCCAGACCCTTCCGCTCTCGCACTGCTTTTGGATGCTTCTTGATGGCTGCCCAGCAGACCAGCTTCATCGACGGAATTCTGTATTACGCCCCCTTACTATTCCGTCAATCAGGTCTCTCAGAGGAAACAACATTCCTCTGTTCGGGAATCCTGGCTTTGGTGATCATGGTAATCACTATCCTGGCCACCATCTTCACAGATAGCTGGGGCCGTCGGACCTGTACCATAGTAGGAGGGACTGGCATCGCCATCCTCATGTTCCTGATGGGTTCCTTGTACGCCGCCAACCAGGTCCGTGTCGATGGGGGTGCCGGACGGTGGGTGGTGATTGCATCCATCTACCTCTTCGCCGTCGTTTTCAATGGCACTTGGGCTATTTGCATCAAGGCCTTCCTGGTTGAGAGTCTCCCGCGCGAGACGAGGTCTAGCGGTGCGGCGCTGGGACAGGCTGCCAACTGGTTGGCCAATTTCGTTGTTGCTCTGACGGCGCCGCCCTTTCTCGCTGCCTCATCTTCGGGGCCGTACTTCTTTTACGGCGGATGTACGCTGGTAAGCGTTGTCGTCTGCGCAGTTTGGATGACGGAGACGAAGAGCCAGAGTCTAGAGGCTATTGAGGCGGCGTATCTTGAGCGTAAATCGGGCAAGGTTGATGAGAAGATGACATGGACGACGACGACGGAGGGTTTGAGCGGTTCAGAAGAGACTTAGATTCAGGTTAATGCGATAGCAGAGTCAAGCAAATTTGGTTCTTACGAAGAACAACTCAGGTTTGGGTTGACGTAGAGCTGGTACTGTGAAGGTACATCTGCGATCAGAAGGAAATCACTGTGATGTATTAGCCAGAATGAATCACGTTAGAATGAAAAACCTCTGTACTCACGCGACAGCTTGGCGGCAGTAGCGATAACAGAATCAAGACCTCTGGTGCAGTAGTCGCTGTGAAGATCTTGGATAATGTTGGAGAATTGGTGGATTTCCGGGTGTGTATCAAGGGGGAAGGTCTTGAAGGTATCGAGGTTATGTTCGCAAATCTCTTGATCTACCCAAATGGTTTGTCAGTGGCTTTATTACATCAAGGCGACAACACTACATACCCGAGAATAGGGCCTTGAACCCGCCAATGATTACAACATCATTTATCGGTCGCTTCCGCAGAGAGAGTAATGCGGCTGTCATTGGAAGTGCCCATTCGTCTTCCGCTCCGAAACATCCCTGCGCAATGGAGCTGGCAAAGCGGAAGTCGGCCTTCGTCGCCGGCGTGGGTGAAGCGAAGCATTGGACGCAAAGCCTGCAGACCTTTTTTGCCAGTTCGAGATTCTTGTTCGGCAGCCCGAGCTCGGGAAAGAGCCTGAAAAGGCCATGATCGATGGTACTTTGGAGAGAGGCTGAAGAGCATACGCCTTCAATCGATAGCTTCCCTTGACACAAGTATTCCCCAAAAGTTGTACTGAGTTTCTTGGCGCAAAAATCGCAGCTTAGATAGATTATACGTGCGTGCTGCGTCTTTCCCAGTGAATTCGTCAAGGAGTGCAACGTCGGGAATAAAAGAACCTCCAGGCAAAAGTCTTGTGTCCAAGATATAGATCCAGATATCGGACGGGTCGTCGGGACGCCCGTTTTTGGGCATGATGCTGCGATACAGTGCGTATTGAAGGGCGAAAAGTAATGAGCTCGTCCAAGACATGAGGTTGTCACCATCCCGAGCCCAACCGCGAAGGTGACAGTTGAGCATCTCGGCTGCTTCGTCCGGAGGCATCGAGAATATGTCGCAGTCGGATCCAGCGTGACCACAGAGAGCAGCTCTTGACACGACAGATTTTAGTGATGTTTCACCTGAGGTGCTTGGTGCATGGACTCTGAAAAGGTATCGCGGGATCTTCTTCAGAGCTGAAGTAGCATCCCCATATGAAGGGCCGGGTGTAAAACGCACACAGCCGCGGGTCATGTGCTGAGTGGGAGCAGAGTCAATCTTGGTGGCCATTTTGAACACACTTTGGCCTATATCAGACGTTGAGGGGTTATTTGTGGTGTCGTCGGTGTAATAAGGTAGGCTTTAGACGATGTTGTTTTGGGTGAGAGATTTGCTATTCACAACACCAGTTGAGTAATTACCGAACATGGATGATAAAGCACGAATGAAGATGAACTTGTAAGAACAATCGTCAGAATTATATGTGATTTGAAGACAAAGTGTAGAGTGATAGGCATCCGGTCGGCAGTGACAAGTCTTGTTTATGATTCCATGTGATGTGACGTCAAAGTCCTCTGTTGCCCGATTCTCCAGATTGACGGCCTCCTGCATCGTTTTTTATGCATGTAGGCAGACGATGACGGATACCGCAGGCGCGATAGGCAGCCATGCCGGTTACTGCGGAATGAGTAAGCTGTTGCAGCTGATAATCGCAAGATGAACGCCTCTTCGTCGTTGGTTTGGAATATCTGCCTCCTTATAAAGACATGTCTTTTAACCTCCACAGGATGTTAATGGGAGGCTCTTGACATCTTCAGAAAGATGTCTGGGCGGCAGGATGGAAGATGCTCGCTTCGTGTGGGGACTGATAAGATAAGGTTAAGCTATCGATGGAAGCCGGGAGAGCGCCCGCCTCGGTGGTACCTTCGGAGATCCCTTTTCTCCGCATTCCGTTAGGCTTCCGTCTGTTCCCCAGCAAATCAGAGCGTACCGCCTCGGCACTGTGGGGACGGAATGCTGGCAGCGAACCTCTTCAGCACCGAATCGGGCCACGGTGCCCCCTGGCAGTGGCAGCCCATTGGGAGTGGGACGTGCGGCCTCAGTGAGGTCAGTGCCTGGCTTGCCTGGCCCACACCAGAGCTTCAACACCTTCCACTGCTATCTGTCCAGGGGAATCGCAACCACCACGAACAACTTGCCTTTCATCACGATTCATTCTCCACCTTCCTCAACGACCGCCAGCTCAACTCGCGTCTTCTGTACGACCGCCGACGACCATCCTGCATATCAGCGACATTGAACGATACCCAGCGATCCTATTTCCAGCCTTCGTTCCGTCCCTAGTCCGTCGATCCCCCGGCACCTCCGTGCTCCCGAAGTCCACGACCCTCAACCACCTACTCACCTTTACCCTGCAATCCTGGCTTCCCCGGCCGGGTTAGCTGGCCGAGGACGTCCAGCGCCAGTCGAATGAATGCAACCCCTAAATCCATTCCTCGCTGCCTTCTTCCGAAGCTCCCTACCCTCACAGTGTACCCCGGTACATCACCACATCCTCCTGGTCCCGACCACCGATGTCCTCCTCACATGTCGCGAAGTCGAGAGCGGCTCGACCTTCCACGAGCTCATCACTTCGGAGGAGTTCCTAGCTAGTCATGTGCTTCGCATTCCCGCCGCAAATACAACCTCTGCTGCGGGTGGGAAGGACGCGGCGCAAAACCTGCGCGAGCTGAGGGGCAAGGCGAAGCAGTATCAGACCATCAATGGTCGCACAGTCGTCATCAAAGATACACACGTCTACAGTAACAAAGGTGCGCCTGGGTATGCAATACGAAACCGCCTGTGACTGACAATTGTATCCCAGGCTTCAAGTCGCTTGCGCAAGCTCAATTACTGAACGATTCGACATGGTATCCCGACCTCCTTGAACCCCGCCAATGGCTGATTTACTACATCTCGCGGCCACTGGTGGGCGTATGGGAAGAGAACAAGATCGAGCCTGCCATATTGGTGGAGGGAATGGCGAGGAGGAAAGCCCTCGAACAGAGCCAGGCGGCGGCTGCTGAGAATGGCGAAGGCGCCATGCTTCCCCGGAAGAAGGACATCAAGAGCTTCCACGACCTCCTCAACCATTTTCCTATCATCGCACGACAGATGCAACCTGGATTAGAAAAGCTGTTTCGAGAGTTCACGACTGTGTTCGAGCGACCGCTCCCGCCGCCCCCTTCGGCGTTACGCATACCCGACCCCGAGCCCGACGGACCCATCACTACGGCCATGAGGAAGGCGCGGTCCAACAGCATGTCCGCAGCAAGGCGCCCCAATGGGTTGACTAACGGTCTCCCCGTGACGGAGAACTTCTACGCCGAGGACGACGAAGATGTGATGAGGGCTTCACTGGAGACTGCTGTCACAGCCGCCATCGACTTGTTCCAGGGGGTTGACAAGCAGCAACTCTCGATGCTCGGCGCTACGACCGACCTGACGGGACCTCTGGTCGAAAGACTCATCGAAAGATACGTCACCGAGAATACACACCACCTCCTGTTTCCACGACTTAGTGCATCAAAACGACCTTATGATCTCGAGTTGGAGGCCAAGATTCGGCAGATGGAGTTCATTGATCTATCACAGCTTGGCATCTCCATAGAAGGTGGGTCGCGAGGGAAGCATGAGTTGACGATACAGCTTGGTCTGGCCGTGGAGGAGTTCAAGAAGACAGCGAACGCCATGAGCCCACAAGAGATGCTCGATCTGCTCCTGTCGACCATGAAGCTGGTCACTCATTTGACAGAGTCTTCACGAGCGCAAGCAGCCTCTTCGACCGAGAAGCCTACTTTGACAGTTAATGCCGACACGCTAGTCTCGCTGTTGCTCTTCGTGGTCATCCGAGCACAAGTTCGGCACTTGCACGCTCGGCTCATCTACATCCGTCACTTCATCTTCATTGATGACGTAGACAATGGTGAGATGGGATATGCACTGAGCACCTTCGAAGCTGTCCTCGCATACCTCGCACTAGACTCGTCAGGATTGCGAAGAGCCAGCCGACGAAACAAAGCGTTATGGAATGCTACCTGCAATGGAAGCCTTGACGACTTGAAGAAGATCATGGAACCAGACGAGAACGCCATTCTCGACGAAGACCTTTATGATTCGCCAGAATCAAGTAGACGCCCCTCTCACAGCTGGAGCTTCACCAACGGGTCTGCCTCGAGGAGATCGTCAACAGCAGTCACGATCTCGGATCGCTTCTCATCAGGCTCTGGCCTGAGCCACGTTTTCCCATTCCAGGCCGAGGATGATGGCAGTGAGATTGACTTCCCTTTACCGCCGCCGCCTCGCAAGGTCAAGAGGGTTGCCATGGATACACGAAGCATGTCCAGCGGCTCGGAGATCTCGTACCACTCGAGGGCGACCAGCAATGGTACCATTGGAAGCGTACTTGAGGGCGACATCACTATCGATCGTCTTTCGCAGACACACAATGCATTCGGGGAATCAATTTTGATGATGGCTGTGCAAAACGAAAGGCCCGATGTTCTGCGGTACTTGCTGACGCTGAGCGAGTACTATCCTCTTTCTGTCATTCTAGACGACATCAACAACGAAGATACAACGCTTTTTAGCGCTGCTGTCCAGCTGGGGCATACGGAGCTGATTAATATTATTCTCGACTTCATTTCGAGACTGGCGGCAAGAGAGCGCTTAATTGAGTATTTTGCTCAGCAAGACATTTGGGGGCGCAGTTGTGCGCATTACCTGTTCCACGCACCGTTTCTAATTTCTCGGATCGGGAGATTAGTCCCCTGGCGGCAAAAAGACAAGAATGGGCAGACGCCGCTTTTTGCACTCTGCAGGTCGTATGACCATATCCACTACCGCGAAATGGTGGATGCCGGCCTTGATGCGGCCACGGAAGCGCAGCGTGACGGGCTTCCGCTGCACATTGACGATCATGTGGACGCCAAGGGGAACACTCTGCTTCACATTGTCAACGACCCACAGCTGGCACTCAGAGTGCTCCAGCAATGCGATGTCGATGTCAACGCCACGAACGAGAAGAAATTTACGCCGTTAATGGTTGCTAGCAAATATGGCAGGCTGGATATGGTCAGAACGCTATTTGTGGACGCACGCGTCGATGTTGCAGCCCGAGAAATCCGAAGCCTGACTGCCGTTGAATTGGCCAAAGATGACGACATCAGGAATAAGATTGATGACCTGGCACTCTTCAGCATGCCCCCTGGCGCGGATGCCCGTATTACCGGTGTCGTGAGGGCCTTTTTCGTTGAAGATGCGACCATTCGGCTGGTCTTGAAATCGGCAGCCCCAGCCGACCACATGAGCTACACCGTCACCACAAGCCGCAGGAATTTGTCTGATTTCGAGCACCTCGGCAACTTGCTGGCGCTGGAGAACCCGGCGTCCTGGATCCCGGCGGTGGCGGGTGTGCGGTCGCCCTTCCAGATACCTTCGAAGCCGTCTAGAGCAGTGCTACGAGATATCCAGACTAGGGCCGACTGGTTCCTCAAGATCATGCTCAATCACCCCACATTCGCAACACACGAGATGCTCTGGGAATTCTTCCTGGTGCCTGATATCCAACTAGGCATGATGGAGCAGAGGAGTAACCTGAAAGCTGAGACGCGAGCCGAGAAAGTGCGGGAAGAGTACGAGCCCGTCAAGGATGTGCGAGAGGTCGAACAATTCGTCGATCATGCAAGGGAGATGGTGCGGAGTGTCAACTACTCGACTAAGAGCGTGGCAAGAAGGGTCAATTCCATCGCCATTGTTGCTTCAGGTAAGTTTTGTTTCTGGTAATCAAATAGTTTTGGTCTGGACTAACGAGAGCAGATCTTCATGACGCATCACTCCTGCTGCACCGCGCTGTTTCGACATTGCCGTTCCTTCCACCAGCATACATCACGGCGATGGATTCTTATGTCCGTACCCTCGTACCAATGCAATCGAATCCTTACGGGATCTTCCACTCGACGTTCCTGGCATCGCAATCGACGATCCAAGCCCTGCTATCGGCTCTGTCGCGGCCGCCAGCGCAAATTACGCAGATATCGGCTGCGCGCAAGGCCGTGGAGCGAAACTACAACTCGCTCACGAGATCGACACGGTGGCCTCTTGGGTTGCTGGATGACACGCGACAACGCCTCAACGAGGAGAGGGAAGAGAAAGCCCGCCAGTCACAGGAGCAGGTGGATGACCTCGGTCGAGAACTTCGATACTCGCAACAAGTAGTTGCCGGGGAATTAGCCGGGTGGCAAGACCTGCACGAGAAGATGGGGCGACGAGCGATCAAGGAATTCGCCAAAGGCATGGTGATCCAGGAGCGACTCCGGCTGGACGGGATGATGAGGACACTCCGGAGGCTGCGGGAAGGGAAAGCGGATCTCGAGGCGGCATTGGCAAACGTTTCAGGGCGGTCGAGTATGAGTCAATCGACGCACGAGGGGACGAGGAGAGATGCAGGTGAGGGAGCCAGCAGTGGGAGCACGAGAACGGGCGACGTGGTGGCGAATGGTGCGGGATACTAGAGGCTAGAGGCCTAGGTAGCCCTGGTTTCGTTTTGGATGGGGCGACGACGTCGACGGCCGTCTGCCTTGGGATGGCTTGGTGTGGACGTCGCTTTTCTTTGCCCTTCAACACCAAGGACCGACGCGTTGTATGCGCAAGTTGGACGCGTCTGGGGACCAGCGGTGGCTGTGAGTGGATAGGTGGTTGTGGCGTGGGGCGGATGATCCGTCCAAGTCAAGTCCGTTGCAGCGGATGACTGCAGCTGACGGAGAAGGGTTGGTGGGTGGTGTCAAGTCTGGGATGCCGCAGACCACATCACCTGCATGGAAACACACACACAACTTGGTCGTTGAAACGTTGAAACATTTTCTCTTGTGGTCACCGTCCTGCTCTCTCACACTTCCTACTTCTTCTCAAACCCTTTACCTTTCTTGATTGTCCTTTTGTGTAGCAAGGTAGAAGGACAGAGAGAGACACTTGTCTTCTTCCTTTTTTTCGTTTCATTTGACGGATACCCTTTTGGCGTCCTCGGCGTGGGCGTAATGATAGACGGGGGGATTTGACTTTGAATGACTTTTTTTTTTTGGTTTTTTCCAGGGTCCCCTCTTCCACTTGAGAGCTGGGGCAAGGGACAACAGATAGACAATGGATACATGAGGATACCTACCTTCTTAAGGTACACCGCAAGGTTCAAACTGGATGAAATGATTCAGAGGTTTATGCTTGGGTAGTGGTGTTGGTAATGAAGTGACGTCGATTTGGTGACGCCCATTCGCAGGGAGACAATGTAGAGTGTGAGGTGGTCATGTTAGACCCCAGCCTCCCCAATTTTCCCGGGCATGCTCCGTGGAGCGTTGGGGGAGGAAGATGCCCGCTCTGAAGTACACCGACCCGAACTGCCGGGGTATGTCGAAAAGAAAAATTCAAAGTCCTCGCCAACATGTCCTTGCTGAAGCAGCAGGAAGATCATGGTTGATGCGTTTTTCCTCATGGGAAAATGATCCACCGTCGATGGACAACGAGATGTGAGTCACCCTTCCCTGTACCGGTTCCAATGGCCAAGAGCAACCATCATGCACGGCAAGGCCAGGGGAGAGACAGGTATTCGAACTAGCAGAGCTGCCGAACCGGGGCGAGGCAAGCTAGTACGCAGCACCTTACGGGAGTAGAGAAGCACAAGGGAAGAGTCCGAAAGAAGAACGACGAGGGGAGGACCATTGAATCGAGAAACAAAAGAGCGGTCGTGAAACATCCCGGGAGGACGGCTGGGCCAATGAAGCGGTCGGGAGACGGTTTGAGGGATCTTTGGGGACCCGATTGGATGCCGGACTGGACCGGGGTTTGGACACGGGCAGTGGAGTCGTGGACACCATCCCGAAGCGATGAACGGGCGACGGATGGATCTTCTGAAGTTCTGGCAGGTTGAACGGACCGTGGGCGTCGTGGACGGATCTACGGCGCGTCGAGATTGGGTGGTGCGCGCGCGTGGTTGGGAGCCAATGGGATTACGAGGCAGGGGGGGAAGGACAAGAGGAGGGAGAAAACGGGCGATGGATGACAAAGGGTGGCACGGACCAGTGCAGGGACACCGCGTCTAAGAAAGGAAGGAGCACGGACTCTGCCTTACCTTCCCTTGGAAGGGGATGGAGCACGGGCCACGGGAGCGAAGCGGGAAGGAGGGAAGAGGTCAAGCGAAGGGCAGACTTTGGATGCTGACTGGATCTTGAGTGTGGCGCTTGGGGAAGAGGGGATGATGGAGATGAGGGGGGAATTCGAGAGTAGAGGTAGTATCAAGCGCTGGAGTGCGGCTGTGCAATTGTTGCGCAATGCCGTGTCTCCTGTTTTCTCATCTGGTGAGGAGTAGAGTCGTACTACATCGACCGAGGGGGACGATAGCCGAGGGATGCTGTGCTTGAAGCGTTATGCGAATCATGGAGCAGAGATGGGCCGGCGATTATCATGCCTGTCGCATCCTCGTCACTTTCTACAATTCGACGATGAAGAAGGTTCGCGAAGTAGACTGAGGTCGGACCGCCTCGTTAGGTTCACCGTTCAAGACGTACTACAGTGTATCAACGTTACAGATGGCGGTTGTGCTGCGAGGCTTAGACTGCCCGCTCACAATCTCACCGAGACATGCGCGGCTACGGCATCATGCGGCCGGTAGCAGCAGGCTCCGATGGCCAGTTTCCAACCTGAGGACCAAACCCTCATTATCATTGTCAGCAGGCCCGACCTCGGGGCCGTCGAGGCTGAGGGTCGGTCAGTCATTCTCGTACCTTTGTGTGTGTAAGGTGAGGAGGTAAGGGGCTTCGTGTAAGAGAGTGAGACTGGTCATCAAGCAAGGCGGCTGCCTCTTCCTGGAGCCCAATATCGAGGCCCACCGGTTCCCGGATGATGCTGAGAGCGCTCAGCGAGATTGAGGATATGAGATTTGGCTGTAAGCGCCGTCCGGAATCGGGAGTGGAGTGTGGTGGTCGTCATTGCTAGCCGTAGCCGCCCGGGCGGTTAATGGGGAAGCGGAGGCTTTCTGAGCGAGCGGCTGTTTCGGGAAGAGTAACGTGGGGTTCGGCTGTTTCTTTTCTCGTACGGTGCCAATTTCCGCGCGCACCTTGACGCCGGATGGTAACACTGGGAGAGGGCCTCTCAGGCGAGAGAGGGCTTCTGTTGTCTTAGTGGGAGAGACAGCATGATGCGACAGCCGCCGGTAATCTCAGTTGCCGCTCGGCTCATCTGATTGCGAGAGGGTACCTCAGGGACCCAAAGCCTCAAGGTGCTCAGGTGAGCGAGGCTTAGGTGGTGGAAATGAGGCGGTTGATGAAGTGTATCCGTATACGAGAAAAGCTTGACTGAATAGGACTGTCGAAGCGGTGCAGACTGCGAGATGTGCTGGCATGGCTTTTGCGAGGAGTGTGGGCGACGAGTTGGGAATGCCCTCGCGGACGAGTCGCGATGAAGTCAATCAAGACGCGAAACCAGAGCGAGACCGAAAAGACGCATGGCATGGCATCGCATCGCATGTCACGACGACGCATGACATCGCGTCGAATGATCGTCGTACACCACACGACCGCGTCTACCTAGTGTAGGTACGCATAGAAGGGTGAAAGAAAGTGGTGTTGATGTTTGTGTTGCGTTCGTCCCACTCCCGCCCGTTCTGCTGTGGGGGACGCTAGGAAGCAAAGCTAACAGAGTGGAGAAAAGATGAGCTAATGCACGGCCGAACCTGCCATGTGTCTAAAAATGAGTCATAGACGCTTTGCAGGGGGTGAGGAAGGTACGAAGGTGGAAACCCAGGGATTCAAGGAAAGAGCAGTTGATGCAAGACAGCTGTCGTGGACGGTGAGTGGTCAACAGCATCTTCTCAGTCTTGCTGTACGTACCGTTTCTGATAACCGAATATACACTGTTTTGTGGTCAGCCGTTACGTGGCTTGGACAGTGCGCAAGTAAGCGAGCGACTCTTCCCGCAGGCTCCGCCTCCAAGGGGATCCACATTGAAAGATACGTACCCTTCAACGTTCTTGGAATGGAAGGCAGTGACGACCTCACCATCTCACCTTACCAACCCGGCCAAACTCAACGAACAGCTTCAAGTTCTTCTTCTGCATCTATGCGGCGCCAATGTACTTCCAAGTGGACTAACCTTCACACACTTTTGCCCCGTGTTTCAGATTTCTAGCTCTCTCAAGTTCTCAACGCCGTAGTGGGTCGACGACCTCACTTCTGCATTCCCAGTATGCAGCCCAAGATGCAGCATTTCATCGACGAGTCCACCCTTTTTTCCCTTCCTTCTGCAGTAGCTCCAAGCTACCCTGTATCCTGTGTCCTTTTGTGTAGTGCCGGGGTCAGACGATAGACGACAGTCTGTTTCTCTTCCTCCACCTCAACATGGGATACACACTACCTTACCGTAACTACGTAGTTGAGAATACGTATCCATCCATCTTTTTCATCAGTCGTGTGGTCTCGGCCCACGATCCGTCCAAGGGACCCTGGCATCTACAGACTACAAACCCTCAAGCCGGATGCGCGCAGCTCAACCCACAGTTGCGTTGTACCGCTGCTGCTCTACCCTCCCCCCCGTCAGTTGATGGGGCTAGAGACCCAGACTTGGGCCCGACGACCTACGGTCAGTCCAAGGCTGGGGCCGGGGCGAAGGCCACACGCCCTCGCTCCAGTCGGCCGTCAGTCGCGCGCCGCATCACCACCACCACATCCATTGGGCTACGAGCCTCAAACCCGAGGATAAAGATGTCCTCCCCTCCCGCGCCTACTGTCCCTTTCTGTTGGCCCCTTCTCTCTCCATCCTCATCTCGTCTCCTCATCTCCTCGTCTCCTTTGCGCTCTCGTCCTCTCATCCTCGTCTCAGTCTAAACTTGTTATCAAATCGACCATTGTTTGTTTACTATAACTCGCATTATTTGGATACCAAAACACAAAAACTATACACCTAGATCTCTCGGAACGCCCTGGTCTCGTTGAACGCGGCCACCTCGTCCCTGCTTCACAGCAACCCCCGTCTGCTTTTCCCATCGCAACGCAATCCTCAAACGCCAAAAAGACTCCTGGAGCTGGCCTCCTCTCTCTCACGAAACACCTCTCATAATCCCATAATCCAACCAACTCACACAGTCACAATGTCCACGTATGAGATGCCCCCTGCTTCTCGCCTCACTTACACCCCCACTAACACATCATCTCCCAGTCTGGCAGCGGATATGTCCTTCGACTTCATCTTCCCCTCGTGCGAGCCTTCCACGCCGCCGAGCTTCTCCTTCGACTCTTCTCTCCTCGACCTCCCCTACCACCACAACCCGGGCCATAACCGCTCCCGCTCCAATGGTTCCGTCTACTCCTTCATCTCTACCGCAGACTCCACACCGGACTCGGTGAGCACACGTATGACTACCCCGTCTCGTGCCTCACCCCCGATCCGCCAACACGGCCCTCTCTTGCTTCCTAAGATCCGCTCCCAGGACCAAGCCATCGAGTCGCCTCCCAAGCGCATGAAGGCATCGCCGAAGCCCCGCGCCCCGGTTCCCAGACGGGCAACCCCTGTGGCCCCCACCACCAACGCCGTCTTCCGCCCGGCTCACACTCGCAGCTTCACCAACCCGGAGACCCTCACATGGAACATGCCCTCCACCTACTGCAGCCAGCCCGAGGAGCAGACTCCTTCGTCCCTCCTTTGCTCTCCCATCATCTTCGCCGATGACATGCAATCTCGCCGCGCATCAACATGCAGCCTTGAGGGTGTCGCCCTCGAGAAGTTCGGCTTCCCGACCTACCGTCAGATGCCCTCATACGTTCCCTCTCCTGCTCCTCAGCAGTCATCAGAGGCATACATGTTCCCCTCCTACACTCCTCGTGCGCCATCTCCCCTCAGCCTGTCCGCCGCTGCCACTCCAGACCCGACTCCCAGCACCACTCTCATGACTTACCTCACCGGATCTAACCCTGCTCCTTCGCTGGTGCGCACCATCTCGTTCCCTCTCCGGGATCCCAACACCAAGCACTTCTGGTGGGATGTTCGCCAAATCCGCCCCTGGACAACCTTCAACGCCTCCTCCGTCCTCTCTCTCCCTGGTGCCGCCGCCCTTCTCAACTGCCCCGTCCCGGCACCTCTCCTCCCCAACCCGGCCCCGACTGCCCGCCACCCAGAGACCGAAGCCGCCCTTCACAGCATCTACGCCTCCCACTACCTCCCCAAGCTCAATGCTGCGCTCGCCATCTCTTCCCACAGACCCATGCAGCTCTCTGCTCCCGCTCCCTCCGCCACCGCCAAACAGCCCGAGCTGCTCTTCACCGCCTCTCCCGCCGGCGAGCCCGCCTCCGCTGCCACCATCTTTGGCGGCAAGCCTACCGCCCGCGTCGTCGGCCTCGTCCGCTCCTTTGACCGCTTCAACACCGGCATGCGCGTCGAGGGCAACATCAAGCGCGTAGAGTACCTCCGTGGCCTCGCCGCCCTGCACCACGCCATGCGCGAGCACTCATGCCGCTACGGCTTCATCCTCACGGAGATTGAGCTCGTCATCGTTCGCAACGGTAGCGAATCCGTCCCCCACTTTGGTCACCTTGAAGTTACCTCCGTTCAGCTTGCCGCCGTCGCTGACGATGCCGACTGCGAGGTCGGCGAGATCCCGCTGACTGCCTGCCTCGCGCTCTGGGGTCTCTGCATGATGGCTGGCGACGATGCGCCTCAGCAGCAGAGCCGCAGTGCCGTGGCGCACTGGAAGACGGAGATTGGCGCACCTGCTGAGGGTACCCGACGCAAGGCGCTGCCTAGGGATGATTGGATGCCCAAGCCGCAGTTGGCCGAGAAGCGTGAGGCCAAGAGGGCTAGAGGCTGGGTCATGCCCGAGGACCCCGTCGGCAGGAAGGAATTGGGCAAGCGCGGTGTGCGTTACGGTGCTTGCTAAGTTGTGTTTTCTGCTTTCTGCGCTTTTTGGAATTATTTGTTCGTCTGCTTTTATCTTGGCGTTTTGAAAAGAGTTGCTTGGGCTGGTTCCTGACACTCTTTTCGGTGGGTGGACATGGGTACATAAAAAATAATTGGGATGGGATATGACTGGGAATGGATCATGACTGGATGATGGGTAAACCATGGGACATGTATTTACAAGGATTTTGGTAGCTGAGACGAGGGACTTTCACGAGTTGCATGACGAGGCATTCTTTCTTAGTACAGATGCAAGTTGTTCAGATGACTTGCAATTACAACCATTTTCAAATTTCAACCTGTTTATTCATACCTCTGCACTCGAACATTGCTCAGTGATCATGATAATGTGAAGTCCATCGGTGCCCGGGGGAAAAGTAACAGCAGCTCCAAATAGACTCTTCGAGATCCGCGGGAGTCAAAATCCGTCCGCGCGGTATTTGAAGTTTCAGACGTTTTTTCTGTGCCGTAAACCTCAGCCAGTAAGCGCGCTTGACGAGGCCAGACTCTGGCGGAACAAGGATGAGGCTGGGATCGTGAACAAAGAAAAGGGGCCTCCCGTCCGCCCGGGCCAGCCCGAGATCGTTGGTTCGCTGATGCGAGTTTCAGGGAGGCACCGCTTTATTTATCTTTGTCTACTCTATAATTACATTACTGTCCGCAGGAGTCTTTTTTCGTCTTTGATTGTCCCATGTTCCCACTGTGATTAGGGGTCGGGTGAGGATGATACCTTATATTAACAACAGTACTCAACTGACAAACTTGTTATCCATTCTTTGCTTTCCAAGACCACGTACCCACAACCTCATAATGAAAGGATTCGACCCCAACAAATCACAGTAATTTCCAATCACGAGAAAATATGAAGACCGCCGCGATCGTGCTATGGAGCCTCATAGCTATGGCATTAGCCATCCCACTTGGTAAGCAAACTTCTCCCGTCCCCTTCTCCAAAACATCCCACCACAAAGTTCAAAATGTGACAAATGGAACTCGCGATCCATCACTGACGTGGGACACACAAAGACTCGGTGGCAGCAGACCCCGACGCCGAAATATGCCAGGCCTTCTGCGACGGCGCGTGCCCGGAAGGATGGACGAAGAAGGCAGACGACACGGGCGCTGGCGCGGCGCAGGCGTGTGCTTCGGGGGCGGGGGCGTGGTGTTGTCAGAGGTTTTTGCATTTTCCGCCGGCGTAGTCTGATCTACGTAGCAACGTTTGGCTTGGAGGTTCTCAGAGCTGGGCTGGTGGTGAGATGGACGACTGGGTTTGCTGGTGTTTCCGGTACGACTTTGTGAGGAGTTTTGGGACCGTGGAAAAGTTCACGATGAAAGTGGCAATGACGTGGGGTTTTCTGTTGATCCAGATACCTAGAAAGGGTATGAGATGACCAAATACCCTACTGCTGTACATATGGCAGCTATTTCAGCTGTTCTAGAGGGTCATATAACCATACTGAATTAGATGCAGCCTCTGACATTCAACCCTCCAGCGACGAGCGTCCTCCTTGCGACCCCGTCTCACTGACTTCACTCTTCATCAACCAGAACACCTCCGCTTATCGCCTATCCCGATTGAAAATCGTCCTGATCCCCGTGACAGCAACCCATCCGATGACGACAGCAGTAACAGCCAACCGAATCTCCCTGACGATGTCCACGGCAGCGGGCCCGAAGTGAATGGCGTGGATGTGGTTTATCGCGCCCGAGTGCGCTGCTGAGAGGCCGAATTGTTCCATCTCGTCTTTCGTCAGCTCGTCGCGGTATGAATTGAGCTGTGCGAGATGGCGTGAGAAGCTTACAGTTTTGATGGTGAGGTTGAATGGTGGGTGGAAAGAAAGGGATATGGTTGGAGTTGGCTGAGTGATGGAGAACTTTTTTGTGGGGGTCGTGCATTACGTCAACGAATCATGGTTGCGGTTGGGGTTTGTCGTTGAAGAAATCCTGGAGAAGTAATGTCTCCAACACGACGATAGAAATCTTCGATTACGATTGATGATTGGCATGGCAAATCATGAATGGTATTTGCAGAGATACACGGAACTCGAATTCTCAATACCTTCTATCGCGTCTCGTGATGCAATCCTCGGCAGGCTGTGTATGGATGTTGCAACGGGGTACTGAAGAATGGCCGGTAGTTCTGATCCAAGACGCATACGGGTGAACAAGGATCATCCTTTATGGAGTGCACATCCTTCATGGAGTGCACATTCAAAGCCTAGCAAGAATGACAGGGAGCGATATCAATCGATTCACGCTGAGCGACTCATAGCGTATGACCAGCTCACCTAAACACTTGTAGATGCGGGCAATGCTGCAATGATCAGTCTAGGCACTGACGTCGACAACTTCTCCACTTTCTCTACACTTGGTGAAATCTCTTCCCTCAAAATTCTTCTGGCAGTGAAGAAGGATATGGCAGCAGCGTCAGTTTCAAGCCGCCGCGGTGCAAGGATGAGTCCGCTTGAAGGGACAAGGTAAAAATGTAAAAAGAATAACCCGAAGAGTGGCTTTGCCAATCGCGGTGAGGATTTGAGCCTCACGCGGGGGTCGAACCCGCAACCTTGAGATTAAGAGTCTCACGCTCTACCGATTGAGCTAGCAAGGCGGGTCATTTGAATTGTTGAAAATAACAACCTGGTTTGAGTTTCAGGTAGCCTACTCTAATGCCGCCATGAGTGCCTCCGGAGGCCCAGCGATCTCTTTGTCTCCAGTCCTTTTTCTGAAGCCTGGTTCCGTATTTCTTTTCTCAGTTCGCGCGAAAATCGTGACGTTTAGGAAGGAAGAGCTGGTCTGGGTTTATCTTCCCTCAAGTCTTCTGTAACGTACATCTAGGTAAAGCCAGAAATTAACTCTCTAGAACTGATGAATTTGATCCTTCCGATACCCCAACTGCTGCAACACCCCCGGCGCACTCCTCTTCCCCACAAGAGCCGCCTCCATCGCCGGCGGACCGCACACAAACACCTTTGTATCCTCCTCCTTCTTCGGCGCGACCCCGACCTCCTCCAACAACTGCTTCGTCACATATCCCTTCCGGTACGGCGAATTCGCCACGGGGTGGCTAACCGTGTACACGGCCTTGAACCTGCCGGGGAACTCCTTCTCAAATTGCTCGAACTCCTGCTTTAAGAGCACGTCCTGGTCCGAGTTGACGCCAAAGACGAGCGTAATGGCGGTCTTGTCTTCGGGGTTGCGGAGGATGCCCTGCGCGAGCTGGTAGATTGGTGTGATGCCTGCACCGCCGGCGATGAGCGTGATGTGGCTGTAGGTGTTGGGCTTCCATTGATGGCCTTTGATGGCGAGGGCGAAGAGGAGCTTTTGGCCTGGTGTGAGGGAGTGGATGTGTGTGCTTTGCTTGCCGTCTGGGTACTTCTTTACCATCAGCTCGAGATAGCCGGCGTCATCTTTTTGTTTGGTCAGTAGCTGTTCGTACCCGGAGTGCAATGGATGGCCTTTGGGGGATTGTTCTTGTTCTTACCGAGGGGTTGCACGGGCGTGTAAGGCCTCGCGACGGGGAGCCACCTGCCCTCAGGCCATGACATGGTCAGGACAGCAGCTGTTCTTGAACATTAACACCTTCGTCTTCTTGCACCCAATCAAAGTGACCGCGAACACTCACACGTCAATGAAAGACCGCTGACCGCCTCTCTCTGTGGTAACTTGAACCGCAATCGCTTGGTATTGTGGTTCACATCCTCCGAGCTCTCCAACGCAAGCGACACAAACGCAGGCCCCGCCCCAAACACCTTTGGCGGCGCTCCAGACTCGGCAGACGCGCTGTTCACAAACAGCCTCGAGTACGCCGCCAGGCCAATGCCCCCAGCTGCGAAGGTAGCCGCAATGGTCGCCGGCCGCACACGGCGTAATGGTACTGATGCCATTCTTCAATTGACAAAAGATGATTTGTGTAGAGACGATATGCAGGTGTGCACTGATGCAAAATGATGTAAACAAAACACTGCTAGCTTAGCTACGCTATGGAATGCTGCAGGGCGATGGTAGTTTAAAAAGGGTTGCTGAAGCTGACGTAGGAAAGCTTAGGAGGATTAGTCGGGCAGAGTGGTAGGCTCGGGACCGACGCGGGTTGGGGAAAGCACCGATGGTGGGGTCTTGCAGCCGGTATGATTTCGGTCATCCCCAAAAAGTCCGTCACCGATCGGACGATGTCAGCTTCAGCTTGCGTTTGCCCCATTTGGCCCATCAGGATCGGAATGAGAAGCGGTTCTCGTACACCTGCATGCAGGTACCAAAAATCAGGCGTCCGTCAAGGCATGTTGTTCTCGATTCACTAGCGCCCCTTCTGGTGTGTTTTTGGTGGCATTCAAGCCTTCTATGTCGGGCGAACAGAATCTTCGTTCTAGGTCAGCTGGGTACCGTACGGGGCAGTCACGGAGCGCTTTCGACATGCTTTGTTACGGACCAAAGGGCGGAAAACCCTGCCTACCTCCACGAAAGACCGGATGAGATCAGCAAACTTTCGAAACGGGATTTCAATTGAAGATGGCAAGCATTGCCTCATGTTTCCCGGCGAGGGCGGCTGTTCCACTTCTTTGTTGGTACGCCACTCTTTACCTTGAGACGGCGGTAGAGTGGTATCACAGCCCAGGTGTTGTCGTTTGGCGACCAAGGCTCATTCTCCCAAAGCAAAAATCGACATGGGTCATAGCTTGTAGAATCCCCATCATACTTTCTTTTCGTATTACCTGATGAGTTCTTGGGGATTACTGGGGGCGGAGGAGACAACGTTGACAATGAACGCTGTTCTTTACGTCTTACCTACTTACCTTACTTACTAAAGTAACCACACCACTTTTATTTCGCGATCTTGGGCGTGTGATGTAGAATGTCACATTCATTCCAAAGGCTAACGGCAAGATTCATTCCATACGCTTCTTCTGGGCAAACGAAATGGGGAGATCACGACACCCAAGTTCATTGTAGGCGTGGCAGGCGATAACGCAGCGCGGCAATACAGTAATTTTGGACGCCATGAGAATCGCAAACATGACCTCGACAAAGTCAACAGCCTTTCGCCAAATCATTGAACTGGCCATCGTGAATTGGATGTTCACAACCTCACCTAATGGATATAACACTGGCCACTGTCAGGACTCTAGTGACCTTCCATTCCGCATCAACACCCCCATCCAACTAGAACACAATCAAGTCTACAAAATCACTCAGTTCTATTGCAAATCACCGGTAAGTTCTCAGACCGGCACGCACTTGAAAGCAAGTCGTGACCAGCAACACACGCAACTGTGCTAATCATCATGTCATTTACTCTTAGTCTCATCGTTTTTCGCCTATCAAGCTTCTACGATATTCCACCATGTGTTTGCATGAACAATTCTCCTTCCCTGTGTGTTGCGGTCATATCGAAGAGAGATTGAACAGCTACTGCCACTTCGCGCGTAACGACCCCCAACACTATTGCGGGGAAAAGGCTAGAGTTAAAAGCTATACGGAAGGAAGTCCATGGCCTCAAGAGGGACCTTGTGATTCCTGTATCAGCACTGCCACTCAAGAGGAGATGGAGGCATGGGTGCCAGACCCTGTGAAGCGGAACAAGTTCTTCTTCCAATTCCGTCTTAATATGATGGAAGCTGCCCGTGAGCCTGAGAGAAAGGCACAGCAAGCGCATTTTATCAAGGCCAAGAATGATACTGCATGGGTCAACAAAGAACTTCGAGAGAAGTATAAGGAGATGGCAGCCGCAGAAAAGGCCGCCGAAGAGGGCGACATCAGAACGCCTACACAGGAAGACTTCATGAACGTTGATCGCGGCGGATCCTCTTCGCAAGGCGGAAACGCGTCTGGCAAGTAGCAGAGTAAGCCCTTGTGTACATTCTGCCGCAGCGCCCCTCCGAGTCGCTGCTTCAATATCACAGAAGGCCTATAGCCTGACTGCACTCTAGCTTTTAGACACTGAAAAAGTAGACCTCGTCGTCACCAACCGTTTGCGCCTCACACCTACGGTGATTGTTAACTTCACTCTTGATTTGGAACGATAACCACTGCCATAAGAGTAGCCTAGCTAGCAGTGAACTAACTCAATCGATGTCCAATCTTGATCAAGTCCACGGCCTATTCTCATAAAGCGTCATATCGTCCTAGACGTGATATGCTTTTCAAATGCATAGTCTGAAGTTCCGTGTTGCTCAATTGGAGGGGAAGGTTCGATCTCTCGTGTATCCAAGATATACGGCTACCTCACTACATGTATCCTCTCACACTGTCATGTTTATCCGAGGTACTCTTGACTTAATCATGGACTCAAATATCATGGATGTCGCTCGATAGATCAGCAAGAACATCGAAGATGATGAGGCTACCGTTTCATATACTTCGTCAAAATAACTTTTGAATCAGCAGCCGACAAGGCAATAACGTGAATACATTGGCAGGTTAGGTAGATAGTTATGCCGGGCCCGGGATAGCGGAGCCGAGGCACGGCGGGTGGACCTACCGATGCACGGAGCTGGCGCCGGTGCCCGAGATTTTGCCGCACTGACCAATGACACGATGCGGCTGGTAGCTGACTAAGAAGACTGGGCCCGAACTAAGATCAAACAATGATGTTTTCAATCAACATTCATCTGTGATGATCCTCCTAGTGTCTCAGTGTTTTGACGGATCTTTGCAGACTGCACATCAGAATGTCGGTCCAAGAATATGCAGTAAGGCTGGATTGGTTTCCTTGCGATAGGAGCGCTCTACTAATCGTATCCAAAGGTCAATGAGTACACCGCCAATGCACAACCTCACTTCAACTTGTTGAGGATATTGGGCGGATGGGGCAATGTCAAGTCTGTTCTGCCAGTCCTCCCCATACCTGAGCTTAGCTAATTTTCAACAGTGGCCCCGGTCTTCTGTATGCACCGGAAATCTCATGATATGCGCTCATAACTAACATCGTCCCAGCATGCTCCGGAGCATGCTAGCAGGCACATCGACAGCCGCCGTCCTCGGACTCTCAGCCGCTATCGTGGGAAGTAGCATCTGGGGCACCGCCGCCCTACCCTTCATCGTCGGGTCTTCATTAGGATTCGTTCTTGGGAGTACCAGATGGTACATTGTCGCCGTGAAAGAATCCCTGCTGCAGCTGGACAACTACCCCGCCATCTTGCGCCTCCACCTGATCGCCAACTTCCCCTGGAAACCGGAGCTCGGACGCCACAACCTTGATTGGTACAATGCTAGACGATTCAGCTCGACCTGGCAAATGAAGAGCATGCTTGTGGCTAGTTGGCTGACTGCCCAGCCAGCGCTGGACGAGATTCGGAGTCGCACGGAGGCTGCATTGGTGGACAACTATCTTAGACAAGGGGGTTTCGAGGGAGACGATCAGGCCGCCACGCCGCGGGAAAGTCGATAAACTGTTCCAGATTCTTGTTAGATATGCGGCGGCTGATCTAAGACAGACGACCCGATCTCTCTACTAAAGTCTAAGAGCCTTGCATGAGCCTTTCATAGACCGTGGATCACTCGGAGAGACAGAAATCCACATACAATCCTACTTTCGCAGGATTTGTCGAATCAGAGGAGATATTATATTGTGTGTGGGAGAGGAGTTCCAAGTTCTCTGTAATCTTCGTTTGCGGGGTCTCCTAGATTCTCTCCATCATCCATGGCCCAGGGATTGAAGATAAACATCTTGCTTAGCCTACAGACCATGGCGTGGAAGCTCTCTGCTCTCCATTCAATTCTTGCTATCCGAGTCTCGAATCAGGATTCGCTTATACCTGCGAACCGGGTGTTGACCCTTCTTGTTGTTCACCTGGAGAATAACATGCCATAATGCTCCTTCAAGCCGTGAGATACTTGGCACATTGTTTGTGATCTGGACCCTTGAACCAGTCGTGACGTTCCTGAACCCCGCATCGTTGACCTCGAGATAACCGGTTGTACCATACGGCGGCGATAGAGGGTGAATTTCGATGAGCCCCTCGAGATATCCACTAGCCCAAGCAACGGAGGCTTCCGTGTATGCATACCACTCGAACTCGAGATGAGTCGAGTCTTCGGGGTGATCAGGGTCGTAGGTCGCGCTGGCATCCAGAATGATTGTGTCTTTGGACGGGAGAAGAACCTCCATGGCATCAAGACTGACGGAGCCGTTCACGTTGATATTGGGCGGGTGAGTAGCGTCTTCAAATCGATCCGTGACTGTCCACTGCATTCGCGCAGCAAAGTCGTCTTGGTAAGCGTCTCGCCACCGCCAAACAGTGGCGCCTGAACTTTGATGATTCAGGCCGGACACAGAGACTGCTGTATCCATGGATGTACCATATTCATTGATGTCCGTGGCCTCGGTTACACGACTGTACCGACCACCCCAGCCACCCCAGTCTGGGCGCCCCGCACTATTGAGGCCGTTTTGAATCAGCCACATGAAGCTCGGCGAGTCGCCCTCCATGCCGTAGATAATCTTGGGATACACCTGTCCCAGAGGGCCGATGCAGATGTTGGGAGTCAACCAATCGTCTTGTGTTTTCGTCACATTAGAAGCACCGTTATCTGCGCCGTTTATGCCGCTCCATGTAGAAGCTTGGAATTCGCGAAAGCCGTGCACGTTGACGATGTACGTGATATCTGGCCAGTTGGCCCGAATCCATGGGCCGCAATCGTCCTGGTCCGAGATCGAGTAGACCCGAAGCCTAGACCGAAGCTCGGCTGCCTCACTGGAAGTTCGTTCTGCGCTGATGAACTGTAAGGCCTGCGCTAGGGTGTTTGCTCCGCCCCAAATGGAGACCAACAACGGATCAACGTACGCTTCAAGCGCTTCGACAAGGAGTCTGGCGCCATCGCTTAACGGTTCATCCAGAGCCTGCCGGCCGTAAACCTGGAGACGACAAGTTAATGAAGAGCGTTTACAATCGCCAGGCGGGGGATCAGTCATATACCACTGGGCCTGATCTCACAAGTTTCAAAAGGTCCTCGGCGGGATTGAAGCTTGCGTTGGGGTGCACATGCTGATTTAGATTGGACACCACTTCGCCATATGCTTTGATAATAAGTCCGATAGCCTCTGGGTGCGTTTCGTTCGGCAAGCTAACGGAAGTTGTGGCAACCAGACCCTTGGTATCGAACTCGTTTGAGTAAGTCAAATAGCGAACCATAGACATCTGGTCATCAGGCTCATTAAGAATATCCGTCAGAATGAACGTCCGAGGCTTGTGGGGGAACTGAGGCAACTTTGTCAAGTCATCGGCCGTAGTTGCTTGAGCTTCGATATTTCCAAAGAGGACCAAAGTGAATATTAATAAGTAGAAGACTTGTAATCGACCCATTTTTGCTATGGGTAACAATGTTTGATTGTTAGCTCGAGGACGCAATACTATACTTGCGATCTGAATTTCTATATTCTTATATGTCTCCTAGCGAGTGCTATCATAAGCGCTTAAGATGGCTCAATGTGGAGGAATGATCATAAATAGATATGATAAGCACCTACTATGCCGAGTTTACGGGGTGATTGAAGTCACGACATTTTACCTTCAACCATTAGTGTAATGTGTTGTGGCCTATTGTGGGCATGGGTCATACCCCGCATCCCCAGAATCGGATCTGAGGTTCAATGGCTAGGTGCAATGCCTATACGCGGAAGACGCGGACGTCTTGTGGAAGGGGAAATTCTGACATGGGTTACATTCAACCCGGGAGACATGTCGAGATCAACACCACAGAAGTTGATGAGCGTTTAAGGACAGCAAATTCGTATTCAGTCTGGCCAATTGACGAATCGCTTGATTTTCGCATCCTCGGTATGATCCACATGACCAAATCGGGTAGAACTAGCCCCTCTGATTGCCACTACTGCGAGAATCGTTCAATAACCATTCTTGAACCACACTGTTGAGTTCTCATACCTACCTCTTCCTCATTTCCGTATTTAGAGCCGATGAGAAGTAGAGTAGTCCAAGCTAAATTTGGTCAGAAACCTCTGCAACTTTCGCCATGACTTGAACGTCCATCATAAGCGGAGGTCATACCCCGCCCAAGAAGTGTCTCCTAGGCTTTTGACGCAAGCGATTCCCGAGGTGGCAACACATCTTGGACGCAGGCTTTTCCCAAACAACCCTCGCCTCCTGCAACTCGATCCACCTTCTATTCTCACTAGAAAGTCTCATCTCAGAATGCCAATTGATCCTGGACAGAACACTCCTCATTTCCGTGTATGCGAGGCTAGTCAGGTTTGCTAGCCCAGATACTTGACTCTTGATAAGATGCTCTCTGGACCTGGCCTACTTCATTCCAGTGCAGTTCCTTGGTCCAAAGCTAAAGGGCTTCCTGGCTTCTCTTTAGTCACTAGCGAAGCGAAGATCACCCTATTAGCGCTCCGTAATAAAGTGTCACGTAACAGGGATAGTAACCGCATCTCACGAAGTGCTCGTCACGTACTAAATCACGTATCTATCTTAAATATCGTATATATAGACCTTTTCTTTTTATTTATTTCTATTTTAATATATTAAATTATTTTTATTATACTCTGTATACTTATTATTATATATTATAACTTATAATAATTATAAGCCTAGCTCTTAATTAAGATTTTATATTATAATAACGTACTTATTAATACGATTCTTACGATCTTTTTAAAATAACTAACTTATTTATATTTATTTTAATTTAAACTAAATTAATTAGTTATAATAATTAAATTAAATAGTTTAATATACTTTATATTATAAATAAGGGTATTAGGGTTTAAAAATACGTTAACTTAAACGCTCTAAATTTTAATATATTTTTTAACCCCTCTATAGCGCTTATTTTACTCTTTAAATTTAAATAATTAGTTATAATTTATAATAAAAAAGAACTACGAGCTTATTAAGCTTATTATAAAGTATTTAAAAACGACTAAAGAAACTAAGAAATTTTTTATTAATAACTTCTAAATATAACTCTTAATATAAACTTTTTAACTCTTTTAAGTATAAGTAACTTATAAAACTAAGCCGGGTTTCTTTTTATAAAACTAGCTATATTACTTTTTTTATATAAATAAATCTATTTTTATATTATATTTATAAAGAGGATTTATATACTCGAGAGTATTTAAAAATAATAAGAGCTTAATACTAAATACGAGTAATTTATAGTTTATAAATATAATATTATTAATATATATATTAAAATCCTCGCTTAGTAACTAATAAAATTAGTTAATATTATATTATATAAATACGTATTTTAAAAAACTACTAAGAACGGTACTAAGTTTAATATATAGCGAATTATTAAATATTTAAAGTAGGAATTTATGCTCCCTAAACTAATAATAAAGAATACGGTTCGAGAGGAATATTAATAAGCCCTTAATAAAGCGAGGACTAGAATTAACCTCTAACGTTAGTATAAAGAGTAATAGTTTACTTATTTTTGAGCTAAAACGTATAATATTCTAAAAATTAGTAAAGAAATTATTATATTTAATTTTTTAATTATAATTAAGTCTAGACTTAACCTTATATAAAGCTAATATATATATAAAACCTTTAGTAAATTAATAACCTTTAGAACGTATATTAGGACCCTTAAGGAAATTACGTATATATTTAGTTTAGTAACTTAGGATATATATACTAAACGGCTTTTAAATTAAAAAGGGGCTTATTTTATTTTTACTAAATACTCTAACTTAGTTAATAATATAAATAATAAAAATAATATTACGTATTTTTATAATTACGCATACTTATAATAGCCTTTAGTATATTAAAAATTAAAATAAGTACTTATAAACTAAAACGCTAATAAGTTATTAATATAAATATTAAAAAGTTATATAAAAAACGTCCTTGTTATTATTAAATTAAATAAATAGAAATTATTTTATAATAAGCTTAAAAAAGCTAGTTAGCTAAAAAACGATAGAACCCCTAAGAAACCTAGGTTTTTAAAAAAATCTTCTAACTAACTTATAGCGAGCTTATTAATAAACTAAAACGAGGGCTATATAATTACTATATTTATAAAAAGTTAAGACTTAAAAATAAACGTAATTTTTAATACCTCTATAAATAATACTTATTTCTTTTTTTAAAATATAATAATAAATAGTTATAAAGTAGTATATTTAATTAATAATAAGAGCTTATTTAAACCCGAGAGTTACGTATTATTAAGTAATAATAATTATATTAAATTAAGAACTACTATACTACTTATTATTATATATAGTATTTATATTATAAAGGGCGTTTTAAACGGACTTAAAGAGAAAAGAACTTACGATTTAAAGCTCTAGAACGTCGCTTATATTAAGGAATTTTATATTAATATAGTTTTAAAAACTTTACTAAATAGAAGCGTATTTTAATATTATAGTTTAAATTATATTTTATAATAAAAAATACTTTATAAGAATACTATTTAAAAGTAGCTTATTTAAAAGAATAATTTAAGTTTTTTTAAATATAAGCTCTTTTAATCCTATCCTTTTTTTATAAACCTTAAGTATATTTTATAGAGCTTAGTTAGTATTATATTACTAATTAGCTATAAAAAATTCTATTATTTATATTAATATATTTATAAAAAGTTTAATAGTGCGCTTTTTTAATATTTTAAAATAAGTTATTTTAAACCTAATACTCTTTATTAATTATTATATAAAACTCGAGGTATACGTATTAAACCTTTATTATAAGTTAAATATAAAGTATATATATTATTTAATATTAAAATAATAATTTTAAGAAGACCTCCCTTAAGGAGAGCTTTATAATTATAATACTATATATACTAAGATCTCTTCTACTTCGAACTATTTTTTAATAAAGAATAATATATATTTATAGTTTTTAATAAATATAATAAGTAGCTTAAGGGGTTCTTTTTAAAAACTAAAATAGAAAAAGAAGTACTCTTCGTACTATAAAGCCTTGAGGTAATAATTTATTATTAAAAAAGGATTTTAATTTACTTTTTTAAAAATAATAATAAGACCGCCTTTTTAATTATAAACGTTAAATATATATATAAAACGTAGTATAGCGAACTAAGAATTAGAATAGAACTTTTATTTATATATATATAAAAACCCGTAAGTAACGCTAAAAAAGTAAGTTAATTCGTAATTATTAAAGCTCGTAAGATATATTTTTTTACGAACCTCTCTACGAATTTATAAAATAAAATAGTATTAATAGTAATTTTTATTTATAATATTACCCTATAAAAAACTAATAAAAAAGATTTACTTATTATAGTAAAAATTAACTAATAAAAGTAGTATTAACGTTAATAATAAATAGGTTACTAAGTATAGGATTTTAAACTAGTTACTCTGTATTTTAGTAGTTTTTACGTATATAATTACTAAGTATACTTTTTTTATAAGGATTATAAGAGGGGTATATATTAAAAAGAGTTTAAAATACTTCCCTATAAGTATATAAAATACTTAATTAGATATATATTAAAAACATATAACTTATATAAGGTCTAAGTACTTATGCTTAAATAAGTATTTATTATAAAAAATATTAAGTTTAATAAAAAAGTTTTTTATAATCCTATATACGAAGAATAAGCTATTATAAGCGAGTAAATAAATTTAGTAATTTAAAAAATATAAAAACTCTTTAATACTAATAATAAGTTAATTTAAATACTTAGGGAAATAAATCTAAGTTTTAAAAATATTAATATTTAAAATAACTTTATAATTAAAAATAGTATCATTATTAAATTTTTAACTATTTAGGACGCTAAGTAATTAATAAACGTATTTTAAAATATAGTTAATAAGGTTAAAAAGGCTAATATAATCTTATTATTATTATTAATCCCTAAAATAACCCCCTTATATAAGCTCGGGGGTAAGAATAAAAAAAGGAATATAGTAACTAAGTTATAAATAATTTTACGTAATTTATAATCCTCTTTACGAGCGCTTATATATACTATAAAAGTTCTTGAGCTTTTAATTTTTAATAGCTCTTAATAAAACGCTAGAGTACGTAGTAAACGAGGTACTAATTATAAAAAAGTAATTCTTAATATTAAAATCGATATTAATAAAGAACTTTTATAATAAACTTTTATTATTATATAAAAATAAAGCTTATAAAAACTACTTTATTAAGTATTAAATAAAGTTTTATTAAGTTTTAGACGTTTAAACTAGGCTTATAAACCTTTATAACGCTTTAATAATAATATTTTCGTAACGCTCTTATATTTAAATATAAAAAATAGTAATTATTATAACCGTTATTAGGACTACTTTTTTTCTATTTTTATACTTAATTAATAAAAAGCTATAAAAAAAAGTAATATAGGATATATAATATTTTATTAAATAATAAAAAAAGTAGTTTATAGGACTTATTTAGAGCGCTCTAAAAGAGTTTAAAAACTATAACTTATTAAAATTAACTTTTAAAACTTACTAAAGAAGTTTAGTAATATTAAATATTTTTTATAATAATTATAAAAGTTATTTAGGGATATTATAAATATAGAAATAAAAAAGCTAAGGGATATTAATATATAAAAAGAGGTTAACTATAATTTTAAATAAGAGATTCTATTTTTATTAAAATAAGTATATATTTATATAATAGTTTTTTTTCCGGCTTTATAAGTATAAAAGATCGACCTTAATAGGATTACGCTTTTAAAAGAAATTATATAATATAGTATACTTTTTAATTATATAATATATATAATATATTTTAAGTACGCGCTTAACGTAATATAATAATTTTAATACGAAAACCGCTATTTAATTTAGGATAGGTAAGCTACTTTGCGGTAGTGCTAGTTAGAAAAGTTAACGATAGAGGTTAGCTATAATAATTAGTTATAATAGTCGGCCGTAATAGTTAGCCGTAATAGTCGGCCGTAATAGTTAGAAGCAGCCCTTAACTATAGAAGTTCTAAACTTTAATAGTGACGTAGAGGTTTTTAAAAAAAGGGCTAAATAGGTTAATATCTACGTACTAGAACTCGTAAAAATTCTTTTTATCCTTATCGCTTTTAATATTACCCAAAGCTACTCTCTATTTAAACTAAATAAATTTACTAAACAAATCTACTAAATAAATCTACTAAATAAACCTATTAATATATAAACTACTACCTCGACGAGAACCTACTTTAAAAATGCTCGTTAATAAGTCTGCCCCTTTCGGGCTAGGCGCCCTTAGCTAGCTCGACGCTATAGCTATCGTAGCTAACGTAAGTACGCTTAAAAAGTAGTAAAGTACTTTTTAATAATACGGAATTTAGCTAA